AATGACTGGAAATACCAGTCATACGCAGATCCACAGACGCACGCGCATCTTTTACATCTTTCTCTGCCATCCCATACCAGGTTGTAGAATCTCCCCTTTATGCGTTTTTGCTGTGCAGCGCTAGAGCGTTGCAACAGGTAGCAGAAATCACGCACGTCTATGTCCCACGGATGGGCACGTGAAAATTCTGGTTGGATCGCCAAATCGCTAAATTGTGTGCGAGAAAAGCTGGGATTTTGAGAGAATGTACTCCAAAAGATTTGAAATTTAACTGCTCAGAACCGTTCGGATCTCACGTACGGATACCTGGAAATTTTTGCTGCAAACTACTAAATCGGAAATGAGAAAAGCTAGAGAACTGAAACTTCAGGGGAATGTTCCCTAGTCATGTACGACCAAAAAGTTTCAAATTCGGCTCCCTAGTACGCCCGAGTTTCATATAAGGACATGTGAAAATTTTGACAAGAAAAAAATTTTGACAAGGACCAGAAAAGCTAGAAAGCTGAAGTTTTGAGGAGATGTTTCCTTCTTGCGTACAATCAGAGATTGTTGCAAATTTAGCCCTCAGATGTGCATGGTTTTCAACGCATGAGCGCATGAAGGTTTTGGCGAAAAATTTGATAACTCGGGGATTAGAAAAGCTGGGGGTTGAAATTTTAAAGGATATTCCCCTCCACGTGCGACGTAAACTTTTGGAATTCAGATCCCCAAGCACGGCATGGTACTCACGCACGAACGTAGGAGTTTCGGCGGGAAGATTGCACACTGAAAAAGCTAGGTCATTTTCAAAGAATGGCCATTAAACGGAAATTGTTCATTTTCCCTTATGCAAAACAACCATTCATAGAATTAACGACCTGACTGCTTCAAGTCTGATTGATTGCTTCAAGTGTGTAAAGCAATAACCATTCACAATGGTAATAATCTGAATGACTGCTTTTAAGTTTAGCACAAAAACCAGCAAACCTGACGCTGTCCTGCCTAAGTTGTAGACTCGGGACGAGGCGAGAGGAGAAGGAAGTGCGTGTTAGATTTGGAAAAGGAAGAGATGGAAAACGGATTGTGGACTGTGATGATTTGAAGAGCATCAGAATTATTTGCTCATCCGCAGTTGTTTTTGCAAAAAAGCTTAATTTTGCCCTCCTTTGATACGCCTTGCCGTACAAAACAGTGGACGCTTATGTTCGAAGAGCGTTTTGCAAAGCGTTACATTCAGCAATATCAATCCAAAATTGACCTGGTGTGGTGTTCACAATTTTGATTGCAACTTCCATCGCTCAACGCTACGCACATCCACAAATTCAATAATGATTTGTC